ATGATGTGGTCAGAAGCCTTTTAAGAGGACAAGGTGAGACCACCAACTATTTCCACAGAAGTCCCCCAGTCCCTAACAGATGGTGGTAATAACATTGTGTACCAATATCACATACAACGGAGGCTGGATTTGAACGGGCTATTGAGTGGCAAAAGGCTTTTAAATGCACTAGCATTCAGGTCAGTTATATACTCCCAATGAGTTTCTTTCTCCAAAATACACTTACAACATTTTTTTAAAGAATCAAATTATGTCTGAAGAAAATACTAAATCTCCATTAGCCTCATTAGCTTAATTTAATTTTTTACTGTGGTATTTTGATACAAGTGTATGGTGGAATAATTATCTTATAGATGGCACCAGATATTTAGTTACTAAAATTAGGATGAAGTCCCTGGTGTTATGTTTAAAATACATGGTTATTTTTGTAGATCTACAATAGCCTGCAGAAAAAAAATGATCCTCAAAAGCTTCTTTTGTGCTAGGATCATGTAACAGAAAGTAGAGCTCTAGGGTTTAATTCCTATCAATCAACAAAATGAGTTTCACACTACTCCCAGCCAGAGGAGCTAATATACACAGTGCCACAGGTCATCAGAGAAGAGCTTAAAATAAATCCAAGAGTGGGTGATTATTGCTACTTTCTGCCATCTCCTGTATTGTTCTTCTAATTTTATAAAGCCCCAATCACTGAACTAATTATTAGAGACACTTAAGTTGTTTTACTGGTCCTAGCACCTTTCATCAAACTCTGGCAGCTCTGAGGAACTGTTCAAACACACAGGGCTGTCCCTTGGAAACGTTTTGCTGCTGTTATGAGCCCTGGATATCCCCCACAACAGGGAAATATTTGAGCAGGTTTTTAAGCAGAGGACAGAGGAAAAGTAGATGCTTTTAAAAATACAGGCCTCCGAGGCATCTCGGGTTTCCCCCTCTGCAGCGAGCACAGAAGACTGCTTATCTTGGCTCCAAAACAGATTGATGTGTTCAGCCAGAAGATTCACTATAGCTGACAGAGAACATTTCCTTCATCGTATTGCTTCACCATGTGAGGAGATAACTCAGGCTAATAATATTCTGTCTCCTTTTTATCCTCCTGTAGCCTACGCATAACTTAATTCTTAATTCCAAAGGGCTTGCAGAGGAGATTGGCCTGGTGCTAGTTTCATTTACACACATATAAATCAAAACTCAATCTACCGGAATAGATGGCACTGCACTGGCATTAAAAAATAAAAACCTCAGCAAGACCAGAAAATTCCCCTTCAGCTCCCCCAGTCATAAACACCATGTTATCCTAGATTTAGTCACACCCTCCAAATTTCTAAGCATTGCATCCCATTTAAATTTGCATGTAAATAGGAGCTATCCGGATTCACAAGAAATACAGCCTCCCCTATCCAGAAAACGTTAGTGTGAATGTAAGACAAGCAGAAAATGGCAGAGAGGTAGAAACCTGGAATCCATGGCAATTATCTTGACTTCTAATGACTAACATCTTTGTTTCTTAGTAACTAATTACACTGGAACTGCTTGGAGAAAAGGACCTCGTGATATGCCTGGAAGAACCAGTGTACAGCACCGAACCAGGACCACATTCGTCCACGGCATCAGATACCCACTCACAACCTCCTCCTCGTATCCAGGACTGCAGGATCAGGCTTTGGAATCTTCCCAGACCCCTAAGTCACTGCAGGTACTACGGACTGCAAGGTTACCATTTTGGGATATGAACAGGCTGCGTTCCTAGGTCTGAAGGCTTAACCCCAAGCAGTAACCCTCAGCCACGCAGGAAGCCCCACTGGCTGCAGCCACCTGCCCACCCGTGACTTGCGGCTGCATGGAAGCACTCACTATTCTGCTCTAACTCAGACACACATTGCTCTTTCAGAAAACCCACATTATTATTCTGGTTTTGAAGGAGCACTTGCGGAAAGCCAAATCAGAAACTTTGAAAACTGCTCGCAAGACCCTGGTTTCACTTATCCTAATCTATCACCGTATTTCATCACCAGTCTCATACCTCAAAGCTCCCAGCAATGTGCCACTTCTGCCCCCTCCAATAAGATATAAAACAAGGGTTAAGTGACAGATAGTATCAATGTGGATCGCCATCTGTCTCACTTAGAAATCACTGCACCAAGAATAAAGAAAGAATTACCATACTGGTGTCAATATGATAAGTTACAGTCTCTTTTTCCAAAAGAAGAATTTATAGTTTTTCAGCTAGCACAGAAAACTCTTCCCCTTTCATCACTCTGAACATCAGAGCAGTTTCTCCTGACATCCTGTTCAGAGTCTCTGCTAATGAAACTGTTTATTTTGGTGAGCGGCTGATGTGCTTACTCATTACAGCACTCATCTTGGAATAAATATGAACTGGGAGCCAGTGATATGAATTCAAACTGTTCCTTCCATATATTTGTTTCCAAAAAGTAAATAAGTTTGAAAGCTCTGCTTGTGTTCACCTTCACTCTGAAGGTGAACAAACAGTTCAGAGAAAGTGAGTTTTCAGTGTTTTCTTACACCACACAGGTTACACAATCCCGCATGCCAAACCCACAAAATTTGTGGCCACATTTCTCTCCTACAGCAGAGGGTTCACAGCTGCGGCACCAGGCAAAGCAGGACTAGGAGGAAGCTAAAGAAGTCACCTCCTGACTCATCACTCCCTCTCGTAACATTTATACACGTGCCAGAGGTTTGCCTATAGAGTTATGGAGGAATTTAAGAAGAAATTAGATTACTTATTCTAGTGCTAATGGGAATCCATTAGAAATCTTTTCCTTACATCCAGCCTATGCTTCCCTCGCTTCGGTGTAACACTTGTTTCTTGTCCTAGCCCTACGAACCCTTTCCTTTTGCAGCATCACAACATGCTTTCAAAGACTGTTCTTGCTCTCTTCTGTGCTCTAGACGGAGCAATTTCTACCCTTTTAATCCTTTCTTGAGAGGCCACTTTTTTCCTTACACCTCTGATCACTCTTGCTGCTTTCTGCTCCACGTCTCAGTGTGTGATATCCCGAACAGGAGACAGTACTCTGGTTAATGTCTCCACAGAACCAATCTGCACAGTTCCTTGGGAAACTGATGAAAGTGCTTTGTGAGCAGCCAGTCCCTCACTGCTGGCCGCATTTTCACAATGAGAGATTGTACTGCAAAGGGAGGAATGTTCTCTGATATAACTAGAGAGATGTCTTTCAAAGGCTTCAAACATTATGGCAGAACCAGGAGAGGGAATGATTTTTTAGTGTTTCTGGAGACAAGCAGCCGGGTCTTGTATTAGCTCCTTCAGCACGCACCTCTGTCCCCCAGCTTCTGCATCAGAGAAAAATCACTGCTGGACTGATCCAGAGTGAGGCAACCAAAAGCAGCAGCAAAGATTGAGCTAATTGATTTAGTTGTGAGAGTGGGGAACAGAAGGGATGTAGCTTGCTGTTACTGCCACCTCCATGAGGGAAGAGCAATTAATAGAAAAGGTTGACATGTTAGAAGGTAATTTTTGCTGTGCAATTGCTTGCACCCCCAGTGTCGTATCTTCATACCTGCAACCATGCAAAAAATGGTAAGATGTAAGGGAGCAGTTTCATTATTGTAGCAGCCGGAGGGGGATTGCCAAGCCCTGGGACACACACTCCCAGGGAGTGACTTACTGCTCTCCCAGCCCCACAGCATGTCCATAATCTCTCTCACAATACATAGGTTGAAAATAGAACTGGCTAGAGGAAAAAAGGGGATGGGATGGGGAGAAAAGCAAATCAATTCAGCTTAATAGTAAAACCTTGATGAGCAAAAGTTCAGCACAGCAAAAAATGCATCGCCAGAGGACTTGTGAAGCCCAGGAGATAAGCACTGGCAGATCTGGCACATGTGGCTGCATTTCTGATAAGTCTCCAAACAGCCCTCAACTCTCTTCCACACCCAACACTGGACTTTTGTTCTATGCACATCGCATATTTAAGGAACTGAGTGCATTTCTGAGACCTCTTGACTTCCAGGTGCAGCCAACCCCCCTCTGCCTTTCAGGTGTTAACTTCACGCTCTTTGCAAAAATATGAGCGCTGGTTAACAGGTCATACTCTGGGTTTAAAAAAGGAGGAGCTCCTGGGTGGCACAGGGTGTGTTATTGCAACCCTGAACATCCCTTCTCAGCCACTCACTTGCCCTGGGGTAACCTTCAGCTCAATAACCAGTGCAGTGGTTATTGGGTAAGGATATTTGGCAAGCTTGAAAATAGGGAAAGCAAGCTGGATGAGGGCATACATAGCCTCGTACCCTCGGAGGAATTAAACATTGGCTCAGAAAAACCTGCCTGGGCACTAAGCCCTATAAACTGTCTCCCAAAGCTTGCAAAGATAAATACCCACTGGCAGTAGACCTTTCTTCCAGCATCCCTGGGAAAAGGATGGGGACCTGCATGCTGGAGGAGGGACATAGGGACTAATGCAGGGAAAGGTGCTGGTTTACATGCCACCATTTGCAACTCCTTTCTTCAAAAGCTTCCAAGCTTCCTTCTCAGTCCACCCGTGTTCCTTCCCAAGCCTGGAGAAAGCTCTAGGAAGTGCTGGAGTAGGAAGATCTGCCTCCTCACAAGGGGCAGGCTCTCCTCCCCAGCAACTACAGTCCCCTACCTTAGGAAAGGCACAGCAGCCTCTCTCCAGTTTGCTATATTCAACTGCAGACCTCTAAGCACTTTCCTCCCTTTCCACTCCGCTAGAAGAGCCATGTGGAAACACGGGGAACGAGAGCTGCTCCTTGTTGCTGTCGTGAGCCTGAAGCCCAGGTTTGCTTGCACTGTCTCTGCTCTGGGGCTCCTGCATTGCCGCGTGTGTGATAAAAACCATTAGCATACACAGGAGGAGGAAGAGAACGCTTTTGTTTCTCCACCCCAAGAACTGAAGGTACTAAATGTTAATACTTGGAAATCAGCAACTGCCAAGAACAAGTTCCCCACCCACCCATCCACCCTAAGCTTTGAAGTGTTTTCTTCCTAGCTTTACCTTGGCACGCTGGCCAAATAAGTCACAAGTTTCCGAAGGTCTTCCTGCCTTATTCTGTCATGATTGCTGCGGGCTGGGAAGGTCAAGACAGGACCACCTCGTTTATCACGGCCACCTGCAGAAAATAAAGGATTGTTAGAAAATCAGGCAGGAAGCACATGTCAAAAAAACTATGTGCACTGAATTGATAAACATAAATTACGGCTCATTCAAGAGCCTGTGCACTCTCTGTAGCTTTCAGGCTTGCCTAATTGAGGAAGACATGCTTGCATTTGCTGGACCTCCATGGGGGGGAAATAAAAAAAATACAAAAACCCAACACACAAAGAAAATTGCTACTAGCATTTCTTCTGACTTTCACCTAATCCCATCAAATCTGATATAACTGCCAATCCAAGCAGGCCATGCTAATGAAATCCTACTGTGGGGATAGCTTTAAACTGGTCAACACCAAGAAAGCGAAAGTATTTTTCACTGTTACTCAGTGTGTTGCATCGTTCATCACCAGACAGTTTACACCATCCCGCCACTTAGAAGCAATGTGTCCCAGTAACGTTTATGCAGTACGACATTCTAATCTATCTGGCAATTCATCAGAAACTGAAATTTTGATTAGAAGTTCATGCCTCCTATGCTTTCCATTTAGAAAGTGGTTTTGGCAATTGGAATGATTTTTGGTTTGTTTGTTTCCTGTAAGCTTTCCTGTCTTAAAATCCGCTCCTTTTAAAAAGCCAGTGTCTGGCACTTCATCCTTTACAGCAATTGTCAAAAGGCTTAGCCATAAAGGAATGACTCTAGTCTGAATTTTACAAGCACAAATATAGGGGTGAATACAATCTATTCTACAGCACCTTATTTTGTTCTCTGCTGTGAATAAAGTTTAATAAGCTTGAAACTGAAATCTAGTGCCTCACTCAATGTTTAGTTCTTTCTTCACATACTATCACAGGATTTTTTTTCAGTAATTGTGTGTTGTTAGATGCGTGTTTGCACTGTTATCTAGGAAAAAAATCATAGTAATACTACAGTATATTGCAAGGACCTTGCAAATAAGCTGTAAAAACGAGATGAGTGTGCATTTTTCAATGGAAAGTATAATCCCTTTAACAGATATTTCTGAGAAAGGAAAATCATGTGCTTCTCTGAACTAATTTACCTGGCCAACAAGACGAAAAAGCTACACAAGGACACGCACATCTCCAGCACCGATCCGTGCTGCGTTCTCTCATGCAGAACGCAGGACAGCCGCACTCCGTGGGGCCATGACTTCTGCAGGGGTCCTAAATGCTCTGATTCAGTAGGAAGAGTCCCGAGAGGCTCTGCTGTAAGAGTAGGACTGGCACGACAGCAGATGTATACTTGGAAAAACAGTATCCTGGATCACCACAGGACAAAGAATTGCTCTGGGCAGAATTTAGAGCAGGAATCAAGGAGGTACCTCATATGGCAGGAGTTCCTGCAGTGGACAAACCAGGAACCAAACTGATGAGATATGTGCATGTACCCCCAGGGCACCGGTTTTCCAGCTGGCCCTGCTGCAGAACTCAGGAGTCACTTGTAGATCCAGCTGCCCTCTGACAACACACCTCCTGTCCATTTTGTTCTGAAACTGTCTATTCAGTTGATGCCACCAGAGGTACAAGCTCACCTTCTAGCACAAAGTGTCTCTGTGCATGACCAGAGTCACACAAAAGCAGCTAAAAATAACAATGTTGTTACTATATATATATATTTTAAAAAAACTTATCTTTTTTAAATTGCTAAGTCCTGCTTGAAGAGTTTTCTACAGCACTGCAGAGTGTAAAGTTAAAGTCTGTTACATAAACATCTATACAGATAGAGATTCCAGTATTACCCTGTGTTACAGTTCATCAGCACTGAAATTCTCACTGTTTTCAACAGATGCCATATGCCTGAAGGGCTACATCATGCATCTCTCCATTGGAGCCAGGTCATGGTTGATTTGTCCAGGGGTACAAATGGAGAGGCAAACAAGAGATGCCATCTTAATTTTGAGTCCTCATGCAGCCAAGGGTACATATGGAGTACAAAAACTGTCCTGCCTAATCTCCGCCCACATCTCTATGCCTGATGTTTGCCTTTGGCTTCACACCGTGAAGGTGAGGAAGGTCCATGGGAATTTGGTGTCACCTTGGCTGATCCGTGGCTCTGCCACCTAGCATGAGAATGGAGGTGTAATGTTACAAGGATTTAATTTGCAAGGAAATAAGCTCATTTTTTATTTTCAGACCTATATATATGTGTATTAAAAAATTCCTCATTTTAAGCACATTTTCCCTTTGTTGAGATTATTTCACACACCGTAACAATGCCAAAAACATTATATCATGCATGATGTTTCCAAGAGAAAAGCAAGCCAGCTTATGGAATGGCAAACCAATGTAGTAACCAAAGCTGGAGGGAAATATTTTTTCAACACAGGAAGCTTTTCAAGGCTTTGAAAAATTTCCCATCAAGAAGCAACCAAGGCTTTCAAAAGCTTCCAGATATTCACTGAAGCAGAGACCTGAACTTGAACTGCATCCCAGAAGAACATGCTACCCGCTACTCAGTCAGGCTCCCTCTCCTCCTCCATTCCCAATTATTTAAATATTTCTACAAAGCGGAAAAGCTCTAAGATGAGATCAGGAGACATCGAAGCCCACAGCTATAATCCTCTCCCAGGATATGAAACACCTGGGAAGGGCCATGAGCTTCCCACAGCCCAGGTCACTCTGATGCTTCCCATTTGCAGCAGCTTGGTAAACCAAAATATGTGTTTCTGGTCAAGGACCCGTTTCCCACTTACAGTTCCACCAAGGTGAGCTCTTCAAAACAAATAAGTTATCTAACTTTTTCAGCCTACCAGAATTTAGATCAGAAAATTCTTGACCCTGCTACTAATAGTAACACAAAGATTTCAGCTACAGAAAAGGAAACAGGGTTCAGAACACTCCTGTCCTGTCTTTGCTTCAGGATAAAAATTGTCCCTCAACAGTTCATATAAACTGTCCTCAGGGGAGCAGGATAAATAAGGTGGTAGTGCAGAGTCAGAAGTTACCAGGACAGACTGTAGAAAATGGGTTAATTCTCCTTGGAGGAAGGAGGCTACATGATGACCCAGTTGGAGGTTTCTGAATGATGGAAGGATAAATAAGTGCCTGGACTGATTCATTCTAGTCCTATGGCACAGAAGAACAAGGAGACATGGAGCAAATCTCAAGAAAAGCAAGGTTGAGAAACAAATGTTTCTCATTTGTGATAAAAGTACTGCTCTATGCTTTGAGCAATAGGGTGAAATCGTTATTAGAAGTGCATTGTACATATTAAAATCCTTTACTTGTTTCCAAATTATTCAAGGGCAATCCTTAATTTTTATGAATGTCTGCATAATTTACACAATTTTATGAAGAAACATCAGGTTTCTTCCAGAACAAATCACAGTATGTTTAATTCACCGTAAGACTTGTAGTGTTCACTAACTGTGGTGTACTCTCTTAAATACTAATAAAATGCAGCTTTTCCATTGCACTTTATAACTGCAAATCTCAGCTTTCCTAGGCAGACTAAATGGGATATTACCACCATCGAACTTTAGACACCTAACATGTCTATATTAGGACCCTCATCTCCTCTACTGGACCCTCCACCCTGATAGCAACAGCAACTAAAAGACAATAAAATCTTTTGGCATTGGCTGTGCAGGGAGTGTATACCTTTCCTCTTCTCTATTATCTCCTTTTTTACTGAGGGGAATAGCGAGGTACAGAGAGGGGAAGAAATTCAGCCCAGATCCCACAGCAGGTCACTTGAAGAACCAGGAGTAGAAATGAGGTTTTCTGACTCTTAGTCCACTGTTTTAGGGCTTCACAGTGCTTAGGCTAAAAGTCAGAAACTATAGAAACTTAGTTTCTATAAACACTATAGAATCACTTCTATAACGCTGACTATAGTCAGCACTATAGAAACTCTGTCTCTGCTTGTTAGGAATCCACCCAAGGAGGCTAATTTTGTCCCAAGTCAAGTCAGCCAAGATCTCAACACCAATTTTACATGCACAGTCTCTTCAGAGAACTACTCAGCATATTATTTTAAAAGAAAATAAAAAATAAAAAAAAAAATAATAACAAAAAATATGGAAGGAAGTAAAGATTCTCAATTGCTTTAATCAATATGTCCCATCTCCTGCCTCCCAATGGACTTGCAGACATGGGATGCAATAATGAAACATGTCATTAGGTTTGCTAATTACAGTTATTAAATGCTAAAACAAACAACTGCTAATTTCTAATTGTTTTTCAAGGTGGGTTTTCATGGGCTTTGGTCTGATTTAGAGAGGCAAACAGATGGTCTAGTTATTAGTGCTTTGGAAAAAGGAGTCAGAAAAACACATGTTCTTCAGGGCACAAAGTACACTGAGAACAAATATTTAGCCATGTATGTCTTGCATTCCTCCCACAAAATCCTTTGTTGATGGCCTTGCCTGTCAGTGGCTTGCTTGCCAGTTCTTCCCATCTCCCTTTCTTCTAGCCTACACAGAAACTAGCGCTAAATTCAGCATTTGTTCTCAGAAGTTGGATTACATCATTTTTCCTCCACAAATCATACAGGGGATATTGCAGTGATGGCATGAGGCATCATGATGCATACCACATTAAAAGAAAACATTAAAGAAACCTCAAAAAACCTGCACGGAAACAGGCTGGACAGTCAATGACCTTCTGATAACCACTTTTCTGGTCAAGCCTGCAACTAAGAGGAAAGGGACTCCAACTACAAGATCCCTGTCCTGGCAGCTGCCTGAACTGACACCTTAATCCTCTCAGTGGTGGCTCCAACTGCCTACAGGTAAGTCAAGGTAAGTCAAGATGCTGGCCAACTCAGTTATTATATATTAACTCTGTGTATGGGCCTTCCCAATTTCAAGTCCTGAGGCACATCCATCCCTGATAATACACAAAAAGCTGAAATTCCAGCTTTGTATAATCTTGTATGGCACAGGAAGTTATCGGTTTCCTTTTAATGCAAATTTCTTGTATACAACAGATAATGATTTTAATGAGCTCTGTTTTCAAGCTGCATCTCTCTGGTTCTATCAGCTATGCTATCATGATA